CACAAAAGACAAGTATAAATAAAGCACGCAGACAGTGATGAGACGCAGGTCGTGCGTCCATGACTGCGCTCGCGAGTGAAAGACAACTGCAGTGTTTGTGTTTTCTAACTCAGGTGTCTCAAGCTGAAGAACTGCGGGGTGATTCTTAGAAAAATCCCCTGTCAGTAAGCATGCAGCAAAAAGGACCCTCTGCACTCTACGTCCACTCTTCATTAATTCAGTCCATTCATAGTACCGGACGAAGCTTATGACCATCAAAACATGGAGCGCCAACTCGGTTATGAGCACAATTGCATTGGGTATAAATAAAATAATAAAACAGCTTCATCTAATAATTAAAATGAAAAAATCAATAATTTTCAACCCTGATAGTATCTACCTTGCAGTATCTGCCATGTTAGCAGATGAATATGTCTGGGCTCCAACATAGATGCTGCTGAGTATGATCTCTCCTTCCATACTAATCCACATCAGATATTCACTTATAGACCAGCCACAGAGCCTACTTTGGCTGTTTCGGATTGCGTAAACGCAAAAACTGAGATTTTTTTAAAACTCTGTTTTTGCGAGGAATACAGAGTTCGTCACACAATGTCAAAGGTATGTGCTTTTTTTCACATCACGCTGTGCGCCACGTTATTGTTTACATGAGATCAATTTCTACAATGACAGAGACAAAAAACTGTTAATCTTACTATCTTCTGTTTTTACACGACACACGAAGTTATTTGTCCCAAAAATTTAGAAAGTCAGAGGCGTCAAGGTGCAATTATTTTACGTGTAGTTGTTTTTTTCCTGTGTAATAATGTTCAACATTGCTATCAATACATTCTTCAAAAATGCCTCAAAATGGGTTTAAAACCATAAACAGCTGTGGGATACTGTTTGTCCGTGATTTGGAAAAGGGGAAAAAATTCGGCAGGATCAGCTTGATGTTATTTGTATCCCACTGTAACTTTACTGTATAAAGAGCTAACATCTCCAAAATGTCAGGAGTGGTGAGTCATTACAAGAAGTGTTTGTGAACTAAAAATCAAAAATGTGGGATACTGTTTGTCTGTGATTTGGAGAGCCCAGTGCGTGCTCCAGATGCAGGGAAAACTAATTCTGTCGCAGAGACCTACCTTGGCAGTTGTGCAGGTGAAGCCAAAGGGAAGATATGCTTCATCATATTTTCTAGTCTTTGGCCTGGAAGGAAGTTGGTTTGGAAACTTATTTGGCGACGTTTCATCTCCTGCTTTGCGTTTGTGTGGGAGCCACGTCAAAAACCTGTCCATTATGCTAGCAGTGTCCAAGCATTCTTTCTTTTTCCTTTTCATACCGTGCCCCCCTTGCAATGGCTCTGCACCCCCCTAGCGGGTTGTTGCTAGTTGTCTGTTATGCCCTGCTGTCTTCTAGCTTGTGAAACTGAGGCCAAGGAAAAGGAAAGCCTGTTGGGATGTTTTTAGAGTTGTTTAGTGGGAGCGGTATCAATTTTGTCTCGACAGGTACTAGTGGATAGTGTGAGCCACGGAAGTGCATTTTAGTAGTTTTCTTCCCTTTAGATAGGTGAATTTGTGTTATGCTTTTTTTTTTGGTTGTTTTTTGGGGGGGATATACCACCCTGTGTTGCTGTATCTTTGTATTGAGAATAAAGTTTAAAATTTAATCATTTTTGCATTGTTTCACTTCTTTATATTCTCTCTCAGCTTTATTCATTGTTGCTTCCCAAACCCTCCCTTATACTTCCATCTTGGTGACGTAACAGTGTTTTGTTTCTCCATTAGATTGTCAGTCCTTTTTGTATACTGACCCGTTCTCACTCCCGACGCGTAAAATAATGACGATTTGTCACGTCCCTTAACTTCTCATGCTGACGCCTAAGGTACCCTTCCACGTTTTTATGTGACGCTGTGGGTTGTCAGTTCATGCATGTTACTAACTAAACTTCTTCCCTGGAGTTTCTGTGCTCTCTCATCCAGCAGGTTCCAATGGATCGTGGCTGCTGCTGTGGTCCTGCTTGACATCTACTACATATATTATTACTCTCTGACTTGATTTGATTAATTTATATTACAATGAAGGTGTATAAAGCATGACATGAATATAGAAGATATTTCATCCTAAAAAATTGTCATATGTCACAACCTAAATTGTCCTATTTTGTGTGTGGTTGTCGTTGTTGTTTGTTATGTTTTTCTCCTGACAGTGGCAAAGTGTGGGATGACACATGGGAACCTGCGCAGTTTTACACACAGTAAACCAGGCACCACAGGTCGCAGAGATCGCACAGTTCACAGCTTGTAGTTCAGCATAAAAGTTCAAAATAAAATATTTACTATACATTTCAACCAGTGTCAGTCTCTGTTTCACTCTCTAATTGTGGCTTAAGTACCTAACATATTCATGAATCTGATCGATCAATAATATCTTCCCTGCACTCGATATCTCATAGTTTTACATACTGTATCAGCCAACATTATTGTCTACATCCTCATAAATATAGAAGTGACTTGCTTATTATAACATATTACAAGGTAAAGTAATACTGCACTGCACGTATAGTAAGTAACACCTACTGTGTATGGGAGCCTAAAGCAAAGTTAACTGCACCAGTACCAGCTTCAGAACATATTGTATATTATATGTTTCTACCTTTTTGTAATATGTCATGTTTAGATGCAGTGACAATTGCACATTTGGAGTTGTGGTCATATGTGGTCTTTATATACAGGGTATTAAAAAAAATTGACATTTTTTGCTATTTTTCTTGTTTGTTTGCACAATATTATTGTGTACATATTACATATGTAACATTATTGTTAATATTATTATTAGATATCAAAGATACAATTTGATTGAGGGTTTTCCTGTCATAATTTCAATAAAAATGCAATTACACACGTAAACAATAGGATCAAAATAAACTTTTAAAAAGTCTGTTGATCAAATGCTGATTTTCAAAACATTCTAGAGGAAAACAGAGATAAAATAATCTGAACAGTAACAGTGATCGTGGATGATGATGGAGGCTTCAATGGATTATTCTGTTTCAATCAATAGGTTTGTATCTATGACAATAATTTGATAAGTTTAACAGGTTGGTTTAGGCCTGGCAATACAGCAAATATTCACAAACTTTTGTTTTTGAAGAATGTTTATCTTTTTTGAAGCTATCTGGCAAAATGAGACAACCCTTTTAACCTAATCTTTATGTCTTTTTTGTGGCTATGATACTGGATTTTGGTTTGATGCATATGCAGGTTACAGCTGGGGAATGGCAGTATGTTGTGGATTGATTTGGCATGTTCAACCACTGTTACACCAAACTCTCTCACTTATAACATGATAAAGGCCTCTTACTCAGTGTCATGGATTTTCTATACTTTTGGGGACACAGGGCCAAAGTCTGAGGCAATAAGTCAGATCAAAGAAGGCAATGATTCTAAAATGGGAGTTTACTTATGTCATTATATATATCCAGGAATATGTGACTGAGGATAGTTGTCATGAAATCAATATTAAATCAAAGTATTCCTTAATTACCACAGCTGACACGAGTTCTCCAAAGCTGCCCGCCTGCTCAGGATCTGTCTCCAAAAAGGACCAGGGAGCGCTAACATGTTATGTTCTAAACTGATGAAGAAAATGCACATTAAACATAGTATAAACTTACTGAGTGAAGTAATGTCAAGAGGATTCCTTTAGCTCCTATTGGGTTGGTTCCTTGATCAATGCAATACAGAATCATTAATCTGGTTTTATGTAATGTCCTCAAAACATGTCAAAATGAGGCTCACTAGTCTGTGTGGCCTCCACATGCCTGTATGACCTCCCTACAACACCTGGGCATGCTCCTGATAAAGTGGCAGATGCTCTCCTGATGGATCTCCTCCCAGACTCCAGGACTAAAGCATCTGCCCACTCCTGGACATTTTGTGGTGCAGTTGGTGGATGGAGCGAGACATAATGTCCCAGATGTCCTCAATTGGATTCAGTTCTGGGGAATGGGCGGGCCAGTCCACAGCATCAATGCCTTCGTCTTGCAGGAACTGCTGACACACTCCAGCCACATGAGGTCTAGGATTGTCTTGCATTAGGAGGAACCCGGGGCCAACCGCACCAGCATATGGTCTCACAAGGGGTCTGAGGATCTCATCTCAGTACCTAATGGCAGTCAGGCTACCTCTGCCGAACACATGGAGGGCTGTGCAGCTCCCCAAAGAAATGCCACCCCACACCAAAACTGACCCACTGCCAAACTCATGCTGGAGGATGTTGCAGGAAGCAGAAGGTTCTCCACGGCGTCTCCAGACTGTCACAAGTGCTCAGTGTGAACCTGCTTTCATCTGTGAGGAGCACAGGGCGCCAGTGGCAAAGTTGCCAATCTTTGTGTTGTCTGGCAAATGCCAAACATACGGCACTGTGTTGGGCTGTAAGCACAACCCCACCTGTGGACGTCGGGCCCTCATACCACCCTCATGGAGTCCATTTCTGACCGTTTCAGCAGACGTGCACATTTGTGGCCTGCTGGAGGTCATTTTGCACAGCTCTGGCCTTTCTTTCCTACCCCACAGTACCTTCCCTTACCATTTGTTTCCTACTCTTTTACTTCTTCTTTGATGACTGTTGTCTTTCTAGATAAGCAATTTCATTTGCTCTGGGGCGAGTCAATGGCTCGGGTGCATTCTGGGACTGTCAGTTCACCAGTGTGCTGGCATGCTTCTTAACAAACACACCACTACAGCAAACATCTCAGTTGTACTTGTTGATTTCTTCGACAAAACACTGAACAAAAAATTTACTTGTGAGTGTGCTGCCTGGTGCTTTTAAATTTTGTGATTATTTGAGCAGCCCAGAAAGCATCCCATAAATTAAATTATGTTATCGTATATGAACATGTACACTAGTCATTAAATTAGATGGGAAATAATGATTCAGGGTAAACAACTGCACCAAGGAAATTCCATTTTTCTTCTCAAAATGTAAAATGTCTGTTGAAAAATCACATTGAACAGAGATGTGATTAACTTTTTATTTTACCAAACATAACATCAATGATGACACAATCAGTCTTCATCAGAAGTGCTCAAATCACTCTCAGTGGCATCGTCTGGAATGTCCTCCTCCGAGTCCATTTCCAGGAGTGGTTGGTGGCTGAGGATTCTCTTGTACACGTCCTTTACTTTGAGCATTTCAGCTTTCAGTTCACTTTGTTTTTTTAAAACCAGGCTACAGAGTCCCTTCTGTATGTCCTGGGACGCTAGCTGCCAACTTCCTCTGGAGAAAAAGGGGGTAAGCAAAGATCTCCCCTCGAAACATGTTCAATGCAGCTAAGAGGACTCCGTGGCGACAACCAGCTATTTCCATGCCCTCTTCATCCAACTTCCCAGTGGACTTTTTGGACGACTCCTTTGCTGCAGTCCAAGATGAAGATCCGCACAACCCTTTCCCCAGGACCTATACACTCAAAGATTTTAACATAAAAGACATGACATGATTAAGCCCTATCAGGGACAAACTTTTTAAAACAAACGCATAACAATTAGCTGAATTAGCCTCGAGTCACACAAGACCTCAGATCTCCCCAGGACAGCACTGATAACACAAAATAAAAATCATGTTTTTTTTTTTTAAATACACATGGTGACAAAAGTAAGTACACATTAAGATAAAGTAAAGTAAATAGTATTACGACAACACCAAGAGAAAAATAAAAAAATATCGACCCATCCATATATGTCCACACACACGTATTTGTATATGGTTACGGCATTAACGTCATTTTAACAAGATTAACGCTAACAGCACTAATATATATATATATGTGTATCTTACATGATTTGTGTGTCTCTGGATGTATTTCACAAACTCAGCAACTTCCTCATCTTTTTCAATGAAGACACCTTCAAAGTTCCCCTGCTCTGAAGTGCTGAACGAACACAGTGACAGTTGTTTGAAAAGAAACATTAAAATACATTTTTCTACAAATCCATATTTGACTTATGTACACAATGCATAACGTACCTTGCATTAGACTGAAAGCGATAAAGCTTGCGGTTTCCATCAACTGAGACGGCAAGCATGTCTGGAGTGCAGGCAGGGCAGCTAAAGCATGGCTCCTTGCACATCCTGTCCACCTCAAACTTTACAGCACTCCATTCCAAGAAACTTTTACTGAAGGCATCAGCTGATATTCGACCATTCTTTTACATAGAGGACATACAACAGAATATTCAAGGACAGTCATCATAAACATTGATTTGCACAATTTCCTTAAACTTAGCAAATTTAGAAACTCACCCTTCCGAAATGGGCTGTTCGTTCATCCAGCATTTTGACAAATGCCTTAAGTGACATCCCTGGTGCAGCCTTCTTAATGTCATAGAAAGACTGAAAGGCATCCATTGAAAACAGGGTGCAGAAATTTAAGGTGCCAGGCCAATATCCACTACCCAGGATGTCCTTAACTGAGGGGGACCACATTAGGCCACAGCTGGTGCAGCTCACCACTGGCAGTGCAAGGTTATAACGGCCTTTAGAAAGGATAAGGATGAATTCAGTCATGGCTCAAAGCATTCATATTTTTCATGTTGTTTTCAAATCGGTCTGGTAAATCCAAACGACCTTTGACAGGTGCCCACATATACTGCGGGCCGAGGGTAATTAAAACCAAGATAGCAATGCACAATTTGCAATAAAACCTCCAAACACATCTATTGTGTATGTAGTGTGTGACAAAAGGGCAACTTACCATTTATGGTTACAAGAGCCACAATTGCGCCGGGTGAAACCTCAACGTTACCTGCTGGGCAGTCACACACATGGTCTGGCCTTTGCACAGGCAACAGCCGAACTAACATTAAAACACACAATATATATAAAAAGAATTAGAAATTAACTGATACACAATAAATATACAATAACAGCACCCACTCATACTCATACATAGCAAGAAATGCATAAGACTTAAAAACTGTACCTATTGGCTTGTGAAACTCTGATGAAGGCTGCAAAAACCCTCCTGTTACTGCCTCTCTGTTGTGCAGGACAAAGCGTGTGTGAACTGCAATATCACAGTCAGCACAAAGGAATGGAAGAGGCAGGCAGTCCAGACACCTCACAACTACTTGTTTGCCACACTGACACACACGGTGTGACTGTGGATCCAGAGTAGCTAACATGTTGTCTATAAGACAAGGCCTGGCCTCTTTCCACTTTTGCGAGGACACCATATTTCTGATCGCCCAGTGAGTAGCAGCTGACTCAGACGACGTCTCACAAGTCATGGCTGTGTCCTCTTCTCCATCCTCCAACAACTGAAGGAGCTCCTGACGAAGCACCTCAGTTCCATACACTAACAGAAAAAAAATAAAGAAAGGAAGAAACTCTTCCACAAAGTGAAAAACACTCTAGGCAGTATGTTTCTTAGGACTCCACAAAAGCCCTGCATAACTCAACTATAACAACAAATATAAAAGTAAACAGAAATCACAATATATACAAGAAGGTAAAGTACCTTTTGTTGGGTTGACACTGGCAACATAACTAGGTTCTTCACGTGGACATTGATGCTGCTCTCTGGACACTTGTGGGGGGGGGGAATGAAGGATATTTACTTACTGAAATTCTTTGGTGAAAACAAGTTGTGAGATAAAATCAATGGTTGCGTGAACACTGACCACGTGGCATGCAACTAGTACTTCGACTGGTTGATGGTCTTTGAGGAATAAAATCTCCCTGTCTGTCACGTTTTTTCCAGCGCACTGGTCTTGGCTGAGGTTCACTCTGTGCATCATTCTACGCAATTAACAAGGAAAAAAGGGAACACCTAAAATACAGTCTATGATTAAAGCAAAGATTATCAAACATCTTAAGTTAACCAACTTAATTTGACATAAACTTATACACATATATAAAAATGTATTTTAAAAAAATTTCAAATAATATAACGTTTACTCCGTACAAAATATTAGACAAGCGTGTTCCCTCTTTAACAACTGTTTCCACTAAAAATGTTACCTGCATATCTTGAAGGAGTTCGTCAGCAGCCTGAAGCTCTTCCTCCAGCTCGGGATCCTCTGAATCACTCATTTTCAAGCTAAAGAGGAAAGAGATTTTTGCAGAACTCAGTGACATAAACACATAACTAACGCAATTCAAATGATTTTCAGTCTTGGCGCTCCAGTTAACGTTAGCAATTAACGTTAGCATCATCAGTTTGTAAAGAGCTAGCAGAACTCTTAGCGCAAAAACTGCTTTACGCACCATGTGAGGGTATTTTGCAGCACACAAGTCCTTTAACGTTTGTAATAGATTTAATCCATCATCGTTGGATTAAATGGCTAATGCTGCAGTAGCCACGTGTAGTCGTTACCTAGTAAGCATGCTGACGGTAGCTGTAGCCATTTTTAAATACATTACACCGTTTCCGAGATCAGTCACCTCTGTTTGTTTGAAGCTTTTATGAAAAAACTAACTTTGAAACACACATCAAGGTATTACTTTAAATATATGTATTTTTTACATACCTGCATTAGAATCAATCAGTTCCGCCTCATTTTCTTATTCTTATAAATGGGTCTCTCCGTTCTCCCATCAGCCTTTGCTTACACAGGTTGCGTCTGATTGGCTGGAGCCGAGCGCATCCAAAACTAACAGGAGTGGTGAATGAATCTATAAATGTGTTTTACGTGTGAAATGAAAATAATAAACCTAACAAAGGATTATGTACGTTAAATCTGCGCACTTTCAGATCGTGAATCAGTTTGGAAAACACTGTGTGATGGCCACAACATGAAGCGATTTTATTGTTGAATTATCAGTGATACTTTCACGTGTTTTTGTTGAGAAATGTTAACGATGTCATTAAAAGAAAGCATTAAATTAGGGAGAAAAACCCGTTCGCGGAGAGGGTCCCCGGTTCTCCAGTTAGATTGTGCTTCACGTCATGTTTCGCTGTGATGAGGTTATTATTGGAGTAAATGGATGGCTGGAGCCTCTGCTCGAAGCGTCTCTGATCGCCGAGAGCAGGTTCATATTGGAATGAATTGACAACCCACAGCGTCGCATAAAAACGTGGAAGGGTACCTTAGGCGTCAGCATGAGAAGTTAAGGGACGTGACAAATCGTCATTATTTTACGTGTCAGGAGTGAGAACGGGTTGGACAAAATACAACTCCACAACATTAGTGATGGGCAGATGAAGCCCCATGAAGCACTGAAGCTTTTCATCCAATTGGTTCACCCCAACGCGAAGCTTCATGAAGCTTCATTTGCTCTAGCAGGACACCTACTGGACGTAAAAATAATAGCTGGCATGAATTTGAAGAGTGTGGCATTTTGCACACAGCCTGTAAATGTCAACAACAAAAGGAGTGTGTAAAACACCTATAGTGTAGTGATGGCAGTATACTGTGTATATTTATGCTGGCAGTAGGGAAAATGATTATTTGCGGCAAAGTTCGAACCGCTTCATGAACCAGTCACGTGGTACAGCCGGGCAGCGAGGCTTCGGACGTCATCATTTTCAGCTCCTCCCATAAATGAAGCAAGCCTCGATACGCGCTTCGCGGAAACGCCCCCTCCATTACTCGACACACGCTCCGAAGCCTCGATACAGAACGTCACATCACTACACAACATTACTAGCGCAAAAAGACAACCTTCCATTTATTTTCACTTAAACAAGAAGCTGGTTTTTATGTACATTAAAGCTTTATAAAAATTTAACAGTGCAAATGCAAATTCCTTGCTGAAAGTTTAACCGAAAGGCATTTCCAGTAGAAATGGGCTGAGATATCCTGAGCATAACCATGTATAATATCCACTGAAGTTAAAAAAAAGGTGCTTTGCAACATTAAACTGCAGTGTGCAGTACGTATTTTTCGGACCATAAAGTGCACAGGACTATAAGGCACATTAAGCGAAACAAAGCAGTCAGATAAATCAAACTTTATTAAACTCATTCTTCTTGCTTCCTCCACTTCTGTACCATTGATTCATTAATGTTGAATTCTCTGGCAGCTGCTCTATTCCCATGTTGTTGCAGTAGATTAATAACTAACCTTGTATTGTGGATGGATTATCTCAGTTGTTCTCCTGACTGAAGTTTGGTCCGTTTACAGCATCCTGCCATGCGATTGCATTTGTCTCTAACCATGAGGAACCTTCACGTTAACTTTTATAATCATTATATACCAGCTAGCCCAACTTCAGTAACCCTACAAACGTCACTGCTGTTTAGTTTCCTGTCTTCATTTATGTTGGAAGTGATAGCAGAGCTGTACGTTTGATTTTTTTCAGAAATCTCTCAGTCAGAACATTCAATATCATGCTTAGGTAACTAGCGAGCTAACTTCCGCTAGCTTCCTGCTAACTTCTAACTCCGTTAAATGTAATAAATTTTGTTTTCATGGATGCCTGGAAGTTAAACTTCATAGTTACACCTGGTAAAGCAGCAATGCTGATCGTTTTATTAAAGATGAAAGAATTTAGACAATTTTTAACTCTCAGTGATGCTGCAGTGTTCGTTTGACCTGAAGCATACGGAGTTTAGGACCCAGATTACTCCCAGATTTAAGAGCATCTTAGTCCGACAAATACGACAATAACGACGGCCGCTTGCATGTTCTGCAAAAAAATGTGCTTTGTCGTGTATCTGACGGACAAACACCAAACCAGTTCCACATCACTGAAGTTGCACCATTTTTACAAACCAATTCTGGTTCATCTGTTTCACTCAACAATCGGCCATGTGCGTATGAAAACAAAGGCTCTGCGCATGCGCGTTTTACTCATATTCTATCACGATATTTCATTTTCCTATCGTTGCCTAACATTATACCGGTATTACCGTGAACGGTATAATATGGCCCAGCCCTAAATAAAACAAAAATTTATTTTAGGGTAAGGCTATATATAGATTACCTTAACAATGATATCAGGGAGGGATGCTGTCAGCTTAAGCTCGTCCTGCAGTGCCAGCGTCCTGGACATTAGAATCTCCAGAGTTGGAAGGATTCCAAAATAGCAGTTCTCTTCTCCTTGCAATATGTCTAGTGCAGGGCTGCCCAATCCCAGTCCTCGAGAGCTACTATCCTGCAGCTTTTAGATGCATCCCTACTCCAACACAGCTGAATCAAATGGTTTGATTACCTCTTCAGCATGCCATCATGTTTGGCAAAGGCCTGATAACAAGCCATTCATTTGATTTGGGTGTGTGGGAACAAGGATGCATCTAAAAGCTTCAGGACGGTAGCTCTCGAGGACCGGGATTGGGCACCCCTGGTCTAGTGCAACAGTGAGTGGCTTCAACACGATACAATACTCCTTTAGGAACAGATACTCCCGATCAGTGAAGCATTTGATTCCAAACTGAGTGCAGACAGTATTTAATTCAGCAAGGGGAATGTCAGTGATCCTGGACAGAGCGTCGTGAAATGAATTCCATCGTGTTCAAACAGGTACTATGAGTTTTTTCTTGAAAAAATTATCTACCAACTCTGAAGCAACAGAAGAACGGTTTGCTTTTGTCCACATTGCAGAACACTTTGAAGTTGCACTTCTGTAGATTAATTTTGCCTCATTTGCTTGAAGCCATTTCTCAACATCATGAAAAATTAAGTTCAGTGTGTGTGATGCACACCTTAAGTGTGGAGGGAGAGAAAACTATCCTTCAGATTCTGTGGAAAGGGTCTGCTCAACATCAGTAAATGTCACCTCTTCATCTTCTTCCGATTCCTCATCAGAGTCTGATTTTTGGAACATTCTGAAAGCTTTGATAAAATTGGACCCGTTGTCTGTCACGGTGGCTGTCACTTTAGAGTTCAGTCCATAAGCCGAATGTACTTGCTCGATTTCATTGCCGATGACATCATATGTGTGTCTCCCTCGAACTCTTTTACATGCTAGCGCAGCATGTCCTCGTACAAAAGTAGAAGGATCAATCCAGTGTGCCGTCATTCCGAGAAAACTTTTGTTATGGTTCGTCCAAATGTCAGCAGTCGTGGAAATATATTCCAAACTCTCGAATGTCTCTTTAAGCTCCATTTCCATGTCAGCATAATGGTAAATGGCCTGCATTTGTATAGCGCTTTTCTAGTCCCTAAGGACCCCAAAGCGCTTCACACTACATTCAGTCATCCACCCATTCACACACACATTCACACACTGGCGATGGCAAGCTACATTGTAGCCACAGCTGCCCTGGGGCGTACTGACAGAGGCGAGGCTGCCGGACACAGGCGCCACCGGGCCCTCTGACCACCACCAGTAGGCAAACATGGGGTTAGTATCTTGCCCAAGGATATTTGGCATGCAGCCAGGAGGCAGCCTGGGATCGAACCACCGACCTTCTGATTAGTGGCTGACCTGCCACCTGAGCTACAGCCACCCTTATCTAAGTAAGTAAGTAACACTTATCTAAGTAAGTAGAAAACGTTTTTCGATCATGCAGTGCTGCTTTTTTGCCACACACAGGTATTTTGTTTAATATGCACCTAAAAGATGGAGACTCTACAGTACGCAGCGATAACATCTCTTCCACAACGTAACCTGCAATCATTTTCTTAAGCTCACCTTCAGACACTTTCTGTGTTGCTGAAGTGAAATCAAGTTTCGTCTGCTTAGCAGGAGTTGCCGCGGTGTTATCCATGGATGATGAAGATGGCTCACTCAGAAGGCTTTGTCTGTGCTGCCGTGTCAGGTGCTTCAGCAGATTACTCGTGCTATTGACAGCGGCCGATAATTTTTTCTCCCCAGGACACAGCTTACATATTACCGTAATGTTCTTGTCTGCTTGTTTTAGAAAAGTGAAGTGACGGGAATATTTCCATTTCATAAAACAGGCCCTCGCTTCAGCTGAGTCCGACATCTTCGGCTGTAGAATACGACTATGCGGCAAACTGGCGCGAAATGACGTACAGCTGCACTACAGCGATGTTAAAGCGGCAGAGTTTATTTTTACCTTTAGAAGATAAATTATTGAAATTAAATAATGATTTTCAGCGAGTTTAGTTATTTTTACAATGTAACGCAAGTACATTGTAAGTAACTGTATTTAAAATACCTAAAAATGAACAGTAATTAGTTACTCTACTTTTTCAGTGGAAAAGTAATTTAAATACAGTAACGTGTTACACCCAACACTGTCAGCTGGTCAACCTCACTCAGGCGGACATCCATATCAGCCAACCAAATGACAAGCTCCTCTGTCACGATCTGAGGGGACAGACCGTGCAGTGGTGTGTGTGGTGGACCCAGGTGCGAACACAAGAGAGTAGACCGGAGTAAACTTAAACTGAAAGCGAGCCTTTATTGTGGCTGATGACAGGTCTCAACACAAAGCAGAAACACCGTGACTAAGCTGAACCTAAACTAAACTGGGAAACAGATACTGATAAACTAAGGAGACTAGAGATGGACCGATCCGATATTACGTATCGGTATCAGTCCGATACTGACCTAAATTACTGGATCGGATATCGGAGAAAAATAAAAAATGTAATCCAATCCATTAAATATCAGGAAAGCACCTCACAAAACTTGCAACACGCTGTAACTCACCTCAGAACGTTAGCACGTCGGAGCAGTATGCATCACGTGATAGAGCGGCTGTGGCATGCGGGACCTGTCGGTGGTCTGGATAGCATTTGGAGCTTCGCTAGCCATCCAGCATTTCATCTCCGACAAAGTTATCCCGAGAGAAGTAAAGCAAGTGTGTAAGTCCATCTCTGAATGTTTGTAAAGCATTCCTGCATTAAGCTTAACAAGCGACTGCCTCTCCTGCTGCTACTTCAATCATGAAACTGCTTAATGATCAGCTGATCGGCTTTTCTGTCGCAAGTCCGTGTCTCTAGTTTGCTTTTGGCCCACTTTGCACCAGAAAGAGGAAACCAGCGGCTGAACAACAGCAGCACGTTTAAGCTTGATCAGCTGTTGTTAGAATGTATTTAATATTACTTTCTACACCAGGATCTTTTTCTACGTAGCTGACGCTGGTAACTGTGCAGGGGCGGATCTAGCAAAGTTTAGCCAGGGGGGCCGATAGAGCATGAACAGGGAAAAGGGGGCACAAAGATATACTTTTCTTTCTTATTCTCATTTAAAATGTCTAGCTTTTAACAAATAATTATCTGACACCCAAAGTTTTAATTTGATGTAAAATGAATAGAAGTTCATTACTGTATATAGTAACTATTAAGTCTAATATATATACCCTAGTAAGCTATAGTACTTTTTCCTTTGGGAAGGTACCATCTGTGCAGTCTGCAATTTTGTTGAAGAAAGATGTTGAATCTATTTAATATTTCTTGAAAAATAATTGATTTCTGTGCATTTTTTTTTCACACTGCATCAAATTAAGGTTGATTACATTGATTAAGCATCATGAGGTGGAGCGTGAGGGGTGGTTCCCTATTTTTTATTTATTTATTTTTGTTGCTGGGAGTTGGAACCCTATTAGTTAGGTTGCTTAACATTTATGCTAAGTACTCTTTAAAATACCAGAATAGGGAGGATGGTGTAGGTTTAAGTTTATTAGATTGATCAGTATTGCTGAACTATGAAATATTTTTTTTTGCATACAGGTATAACAGAATAGTTTTAGTGTAGTTGTTGTTTTAAACTTGAGTATGAACTTATACAAAATGCAGCAAAATATTTAAAAAAACAGTTTTGTTGATTAAAAAACACTATATCAGTATCGGCAGATAGCCAAATTTATGATATCGGTATCGGACATAAAAAAGTGGTATCGTGCCATCTCTAAAGGAGACTCAGAAAACCATGACGATGATTGTACAGACTGGCCGTGAGGACATGGAGGGTGGGAACACAGACGACACGACACAGACTGTATGAAACACAGAGACTAAATACACATGAGGGATGATCAGGGGAAGTAGCCACACATGGGAGCACAGCTGACACACATGAACCTAACGACGGGACAGGAGAAGTGAAACTGAATACACTGACATTGAATACAGACTTTCAAAGTAAAACAGGAAACATGGAGATTAGACATGACATGAACTAAACATAACCACGCAGACATGACGCATGAACCAGGGAGACTTAGTACAGGGGGAGATGACAACTAAGGAACAAAGGACTAAATAGCAATCTCAAAATAAACTAGATGTGCTAAGCTAGGGCACAAATGAATACAAAAGATACATAAAACTCAAACACTGGGTCGCTCGACCCAGGACCATGACATCTTCCCTTTGTGCTTCAAATCCCTCCCACTCTGAGACAAGGAGCTGAGAGACAGAGGAAAGAGTCAATTATACGGAAGAGAGAAAAGTGAAACCGTCCTCAGAAGGTCTGACTCGCTGGCTCACTGGCGTTCACGTCATCCCTCGCTGTTGCCAGCAGCCGAGTCTGCAGGGTGCCCTGGAAGAGCTGAGTTAATGTTCGACTCCTCCTGGTCAGGCTCTCCAGCTGGATGATCCGAGGTCTCCCCTCTCACCGCTGCCTCTGAACACAGAAACACAAATTGCATCTGAAGCAGGAGGTGCAGATTTTTTTGCTATTCTTTTCTAAATCAAGGCTAGATCACGTGGAGGTATTTGGAAAACCTTTTTGGCCAGCGGGCGACTGTTGTCTTGCAGAAAGTCAAATCAAACATACGCGATACACAATCAATTCACAAGAACACATTATAAAAAACAAGTCCAGTTCTTGCATGATTTCAAGTGAATTCTGCATCAAACAGGGTAAAACGAGTGTTTGCAGCAAATGTGAGCACAAAGCCTCACTTTGTACAAGCCTGCTATTAAAGTTCTCCTCTATGCAAACGACTTTCCTGTTTTCAAGGCACAACTTGGATCTGCTGTACGAATCTTATGGATACACACTAAATGAAACAATAGTGTGCACGACTCCAGATTCTAATATGGTCCCAAAAGGCTCACAAAAACCAACGTAGCAATAGCAATAAAGCAAATGTTGAGGCTTCAAAATACAAAGTCCATAAACCAATGGCTGACATGGGTTTTATCATAAGGGTGATAAATATACAGATTTCAGTCTGTCTTAGAGATTTGATGTTCATTTACCTGCAGATGCACTATACGTGCTATACTATACTATACTATACTATACCATTTGACCTTAGAACTGAAGAAGCTTCTCAGATGAGAGGTGAAACGTTTTCAAGCAACTTAAAGAAGTCCAGACGCTTTTCTTTGCAAGCTCCTTTGAATACTGCTGGGTGGTTTGTAAAGTTTACAATAACTAGTATTATCATTATGCTATATGTTCAAAAATATATAATGTACTGTTCTCTCTATGTGTTAAACTCCCTGAGTGTGAACATAGATAAACAGCCAGCCAAACTACTTTTCAAGAGCCAGGAAGGTGAGCGTCCAGAATTCATCAGCAAGTACCTGTATTCGTCTCCACTGGCACTTCAAAAGTTCTTTTCCAACAAACTCGCCAGCTGGAGGTGGTACACCAGGTTTCTGCGTTACTATCATAGCAGGAGTCAGCAGCAGTGGTGAAGAAGGATCGGAGGAGACTGGGATTAATGGCCTTGCATTGATTATAGCAGACACCTCTGCCATCAAGGTACAGAGCACTTCATGAGTCAGGGAACTGTGTTTACCGTGAGACAACATGGAGTCCAGTATCCTCCTGGTTACACCAATCCTACACACCTCCCATATGCGAGGCATGTGGAGGGTTGAACTCTCATGTACAGCCGTGTTCGTAGAGGTATCTCAGGATCTTGTCTTGACTCTGATCATCTTGTCTTATTCCTAATTCAGAACATGCTCCAACAAAGTTTGTACCACAGTCTGACCTCAGCTGCTTCACACGCCCTCTTAGAGCAAAAAGTCTGCGTAGTGCATTGATGCAGCTACTTGAGTCCATGGACTCAATGACTTCTATATGCAGTTGAGTAAAGTTTGACTTATCTGACAGTTTTGTTTCGCTTAATGCGCCTTATAATTCTGTGCACCTTATGGTCCCAAAAATACGGTAACTTCTACCGTCCTTTAGCATGTCCATTAGTCTAACTTTTTGTGCGACGGTTAGCATCTTCCTCTGCCTTTTCTTTTCTTTTTGAGTGCTACCGCAGGTGCCTTTGACGGTGCAAAAAGGTTTGGCGACATTGTTGTGTTTGTTGGGGAGAAAACTTACATACATACAGTACAGCACTTCAGAGTCACACTGTAGAGATCGAAGAATTATGTAAATTTGACAAGTTGAACACAATCTGTACTGTACAGGAGACACAGCACAAGATTGATTGACAATGGTCTGCAGCCTTATAAGGACGCAAAAAAAAAGAAAGTATGCAAAATTGCACAAAGAAAATCAGTGAAACAGCGAGGCCACAAAAGGTGAAACGCATTATAGAGAGGGACAACTATATAGACGTTTACTTTCAAGGTACACTGTTTTTCTGAAATAAAAAAAGGATTTCAAAATGCCAGATGAGTTCAGGTTTACAGTCTGTATCAGAATGCCAGCTGCGCTCATTTGAATCTCTTACCTTTTTTCTTTTTGTAAACAACAAATCCAACAGCAGCCACAGAAAGAACAACCACTGCAGCAACCACTGCAGTGATGACAGCAGTCATCCTGGCATCGGGCGTCTCTACTAAGTAAAAAACAAAATTTTAAAAAGTACATTCAGTTCAGTTTTATTTACATAGCGCCAAATCACAACAACAGTTGCCTAAAACATTATAATAAAATCACACATCCATCCTATAGGTTTCATCTACACTACATATTTCAATTAAGCAGGACAAATGCACTAAAATTATATTACTAACTATGTAACTCATTAGCGGGAGCTCTAGTTTTCACTTCTAACTGCATTCAGTAACATATGCCTCAGTGAAAAGCCATAAATAAACTGAGGATTTTATTAGACACACGTTAGAGACAGTGTTGAATTTTAAAATGTAGAAGTTCACTATCAGAGTTACATGGTATAAAGTGTAAACTTTAAAAAGGGTATTCTTACAAGTTTTAACACCTCACATACTCTGAATCAAAGAAACAGTCAGAAGCCCTCCTGTAAGCCTACCACTCCCAGGGGAAATAGGTGTTGGCTGCAATGTGTGGCAGTCAGAGGTGGAGGCCTTGGGGATCACTCCCCCAAGTGGATGAGTTTAAATCTATCAGGGTACTGTTCACAAGTGACGGGTGAGGGGAGTGAGAAATTGACAGATGGATTGGGGCGGCATCTGCAGTAATGCGGATGCTGTACCAGTCCATCATGGTGAAGAGAGAACTGAGCACCTATAGTTACAAGCTCTGGGTAGTGACTGAAAGAATGAGATACAAATGCAAGCGACAGAAACTAGGGCCTGGCCCCTCCCTTAGAGATGGGGTGAGGAGGTCAGCCATTCAAGAGGGGCTCAGAGGAGAGCAGCTACTCGTCCACATTAAAAGGAGCCAGCTGAAGTAGTTTGGCAACTGTTCCAGGCATGTCTCACCAGATGGAGGCCCTAGGGCACGACACCCTGGAGAGATTACATCTCTTGGCTAGCCTGGGAATTCCTTGGTGTTCCCCCATATAAGGTGGAGCAGGCGGCTAGGGAGAGGGAGGGAGGTCTGACTTCTCTGCCAGACCTTCTTAGTCTGCTGTCCCCCACAACTTGGCCCCAAATAAGGGGAAGTAAGTGGGTGGATGGACATTGAAGCACCACATTATAGACAATACACAGTTTTAGCAGTCATGGGAAATAAATGAGTTGCTCTTACTTGATTGATCGATTACTTATGTTGTTTCTGCCCCTTTGGTCATGGATTTATGTAGTTTGGTGACAAATGTAGAAGTTCTAATATCACATTAAGGGGGTTATGATTTTTTTCTTACTAATATTAACAGTAACAACTTATATGTACAATGAAAGAGAGAGAAAATGATTGTAATATACAATAATTTAAGAAAAAAGAAGAAATTCTTCCCCATCAAGATCTACAAGAGTTATTCCCAACATGAATAGCTATGCCTCCTGGGATCCAATGTAGGATAAACAAATCAAGCATTACATTAACAATATCAGCAAACATAATGTTTCTCTCACCTCCATCATTGCAAAGTATTGTTTTTGCACAGTTTGTTCTGATCACTGTTTTGTCCAGTTTGGTGATGACTTGTTCACTATTGGAGAGCTGAAACACACAGTCATATCTTCTCCAGTCTTCAGGTTTGACTGATGAAACATTCAGATCAACATTCATCTGGAAGGTCTCATCATCGTTGGGGAGGATCTCTCTGTGATCCACACCTTCATGGATCTCTTCTCCATCTTTCCTCCAAAACATCATGACTCTTTTAGGATAGAAACCTGTAGCGTAGCAGCTGACCGGAGAGGAGGGAGTCTTCTGGAGAAGAGACACTGAGGGAAGAACTGTAGAGACAGATGGAGGCAATGCAGGCAGGGGGAAGGAAGAAATAGCAATTAGAAAATAAACCAGATGAGGATACAAAGAAAAACAAAGAAAAAGAAATTCAATAGGAGTATATGTACAGTGTATGTGTTACATATAAAACATTATAGTATCAGCGGAAAATAATTGTGACTGATTTTCTGTGTAGGTTTTCAGGCTTCCAAGTTATGATAGTCTATGAAGCTTGGAAAGAAACTTTCTTGTAGACGTTTCAGCTCTCATCCGAGAAACCAAATGGCGGAAATGTCTCTATGCACGCTCAATCATCGAGGTAAAGTAATCACAAAAAGTTTATCTGTTCATCTGGATGTAGTTTTTTCAGTGGGAGAAACATTTTGTCACTCATCCAAGTGACTTTCACATTCTTAGCTGACTGTAGGATTCCCCAAAAAAACTACATTTGCATAATAACTGAAACTAGCACCACTGAATAACAATGGACCGTGAGGTCAGTTTCATGATCATTAATATGCAAATTGTCATGACTGTGGGGCCTTAACCCTGTCCCTTAAGACGGTCATTGACCCACTATTGATTATGTGCCTCGTCACATGAGCCAAAGTGTGAAAAAAAAAGTTATGGGTCATTATTACCAGAGGTTTCAGATGAAAAAAGGGGGTGGCTTACAACACCAACTGTCCGTTATCTACAATGTAGTTTGGAGATCCAGTCCCAGGTGCCTCAACCCCTACTCACATCTTGCATCATGTGGCCTCAATAGGTCACATGATAGGTTAAAGAAAGGTGTTTAATGTATAAAAGCAAAAAAAGTGAATGGTGGCTTGGGCTACTCCAACACAAGTCGATAATTTGGTTAGTGATTTTACACTGTTAAGACACTGAAAATCTGCTTCAACACCTTCTGAAAAAAACAAGCAAAAAGAAAACAACACAGTAAGGAAACTACAAAAGCAACCAACATGAGCATCAGTAACAGTAAATAATAAATATTGAATGCTTGTTTTAGCCAATAATGCGTTTCTTGTCCTTACATGACCCACACCTTTTTTCACAACTTGGGTCATGCGATGAGTCACATGACTAATCATGTGGGTTAGGGGTCAACCCCCACTAGCATTTAAATACTAATACCATTTCGTTTTAGAACTAAAGGAGCTCTTTAGATGAGAGGTGAAACGTCTTCAAGAAGCTTAAAGAAGTCCAGTCGCTTTCTTTCCAAGCTCCATAGATAATTGTGACTATAACTAAAGCAAACATCTGAAAATCAAAACAAAATTGAATTTGTAATTTAAAACAGAACAAGCTATTCAAGTCAAAGAGTTACCAGGTTTCTTGCAGTTATACTAAGATGTAACACTGCACTCTTTAAGCTAAATGTAATCCTAAATAAACTGCAATATGGAAACTCTTTTTCAAAAGAATTTTAACTAATTAATGTAAGAAATCATCAATAAATCTTGGAAATGATGAAAAGGTGTGTTTCTCCTGTGGTCTGAAGTGAAAATGTCTGAAGAGGTGATAAACAGTTAACGTTCAGAAGTAGTTGTTGTTGTATTCAATAACATGGTACGGTGAAAAATATTTTAAAAATTGGCAACAAGAACGTCTGGAAGCAAGTGTTGATCACTTGCTCTCTGCTGTGGTTTGTTCTGTTTTCCCTCCTAAAACTTCAAGCTGACCAGGTTTTAGACAGCACTAGTGAGCAAATGTGTCTGCTCTGTGTCCTCTGGCATAACTTGGTAAGAGGGGAGGAGCGGAGCAGCAGGAAAGCTCAAGGTACAATTACATGTACAGTTGAAACCAGACATTTACATCCTTCTGAAAAAAACACATACAGTAAACTTTTTGGTTTTAGATCAATAAATATTAACATGTTTTTTGTGAAATGTCAGAATAAATAGAGAGAAAATTGTTAGGTATTTTTTTATTATTTTCATCAAAGTCAGAAGTATACACACATCCTTAGTATTTTGTAGAATTGTCCTGAAACTGTTTCACTTGGGCCAAATGTCCTTCCAAAGGTTTTATATAATAGTTTGCTGGCATCTTGGCCCACTTCTCTTGACAGAACTGGTGTAACTGGGTCAGGTTTGTAGGCCTCCTTGGTCGCATTTGTCTTTTCAGTGCCGCTCACAAATTTTCTATGGCACTTAGATCAGGGCTTTGTGATGGCCACTCAAGTACCATGACTTTTGTTGCCCTTAAGCCACTTTGTAGCTAATTTGGAGGTATGCTTGGGGTCACTGTCCTTTTCAGAATCAGATTACTTCAATCAATCCCTAAGGAAATTATGTGGGTTACAGGTGCTCCAAGACAGTAACGGTAACAGACTAAACCAGGGGTGGGCAAACTACAGCCCGCGGGCCACCTCCGGCCTGTTGGGCATTTTATTCTGGCCAGCTGAAGATTGGTGTGTCTCGCGGGGTACGCAGTGTGGCGTTACTCTAATTAAGTACTTTGTGAATGACCACGGCAAACAGTCATGCTTTGAAGCATCTCTTTATTCGGACACACAGAGCTGCAGCTCTCCTGCTCCCAACTCAACATAACAACACAACCAACAACAACCACAATGCAGGACCCAGTACCATATTTAAGTTGGCGGGGCATGATAGCAAATGCAAATGCCATGCAGCTCCCCTGGCAGACTCCCCTGGCACGGGGACCTCTGTCTCCTCGCTCAGCTCCTCCTTCACCGCCGCCGCTCCCGGCTGGAGCAGCCCCTCGCGCGGCTCCCCCGTCGTCATCACTGCCGCCGCTATAATGCTTTCTTAATGTTTTTGTTTGATATGTATGCATCTGGTGCTGGCCTGGCCCATTTTGTAAATTTTAAACTTCAGCGTGGCCCCTGAGCCAAAAAGTTTGCCCACCCCTGGACTAAACTATTAAATAATACAATATGTTACAGAGTTTACACATTTGAGAAATGGCACTAATATATACAAACTGCTCAATTAGAAAAATCAAGAATATTACAGAGGTTGTTGTAAATATCAGGAATATTGACAAAGAATATTACAGAGGCAGAACATTGACATTTGACTCTAACCAGTGAACTTTGTCATTTGCTATTTTATTGTAGAGTGTGTATTGCACTGCAATACACTGTACTGCAGTGCTTACAGTGTTTTAGATGGAGGACTTGTACAGGGAGATGGCCATGGGCAGGAATGATTTCCTGTGTCGTTCAGTGGTGCTTTGTAGTAGTCTCAGTCTCTCACTGAACGTGCTCCTGTGACTAGACAGCATGCCATAGAGTGGGTCGGAGGTAATATCCAGCATTCTCCTCATCTTGGACAACATCTGCCTCTCAGACACCATCCTAAGGGAGTCCAGCTCCATCCCCACAACATTACTGGCCTTGCGGGTCAGTTTATTTAGTTTTGGAAGACTCATTTGCGCCCAAGCTTCATCTTCCTGGCTGATGTCTTTAGATGTTGCTTCAATATGTCCAAATAATTTTCTTTTCTCAGGATGCCATCTACCTTGTGAAGTGCATGAGTTCCTTTTGCAGCAAAACAGCTCCACAACATGATGCTACCACCCCTATACTTCACAGTTGGCGTGGTGTTCTGAGGCTTCAAAGCTTCCCCCTTTTTCCTCCAAATATACAGTTTATCATTGGCCAATGGTTTTGTCAGACCACAGGACATGTCTCCCTGTGCATTTGCAAACTGTATTCTGGCTTTTTTATAGTGGTTGTGAAGTAATGCCTTTCTCCTCCAAGAGTAACCTTTCAGCTCATGGTGGTACAGGACTTGTTTTGACACTGTCTTCAGCCTTCATCTCCACAGGGTCTTTTGCTGTTGATTTACACTTTTCGACCAAAAATCTTTCCTCTCTGAGACTCAGAATCTGTCTTCTTCCCAAGCAGTATGATGATTGTGCATTCCCATATTTTTTGCATATTATTGTCTGAATGGATGAACGTGGGACCTTCAGGCATCTGGAAATTGCATTTAAGGATGAGTCACACTTGTGGAGGTTGACAGTTCTTTTCTTGATGTCTTGGTTGATTTCTCTTGATTTTCACATGATGTCAAAGAAAGAGGCTCTGTGTTTGGGGTGTGCCTTTATTTTCATCCACAGTTGTGTCACCAATTAACTCAAATGGACTCAAACTATCAGAAGCTTCTTAGGCTCAGTAATGAAGTAATGTAATGAAGCTTATGCGGAAATTCAATAAGGTAGGTACTCATCTATTTGCTTCCTATGTGTTAGTGACAAATCTAATCATTACATAACTTCCACTTTCCCGCGCTGTGAAGCTAATTGTAACATGGTGGGTTTAAACCAATGATCTTTCTCCAGGCCTTTGTCAGGCCAATCAGTCCTCACTCCTCGTACTTTAAATCTCACTGCGCATCTTTCAGTCTCCCGTACAGACAGCTTAGTGCAGGGGTCAGCAACCTTTAAGACCCAAAGAGCCATTTGGACCCGGGTTCCACGCAAAAGAAAACTCTGGGAGCCGCAAATAGTTTTTGACATCTAAAATGAAGATAACACTGTATATACTGTTTTTTTTTTACCTTTATGCTTTGTGTGAACAACTAAGGTGTGTTGTTTATGAAATCCATGAAGTGCTACAGAGAAAATTACATTTTATTTATGTAATTAACACATTTTGAACTCTTAAAGAAATATAACAAAAGGAAAGACACCCAGCTGAACTAAAATGATCCATGTAGCAAACAAAAACTGTTGTGAGCCGTCACCCTTATACCGCCTTTGGGATTTTGGAGCCTTGACCTGACTTTTAAAAAGTAATTGGAAAAAAAGCTCTATGCTGCTAAAAGATGAAAAATAGATATTTGCAAAATTCTGCCTAAATATGTATTTTATCAGGTTAATGCATGTGGCGGGGCATGGTGTGCAGCGCACCTGCAGGGGAGTCGGACACACCTGAGCGGCACCCGCAATTACGCCTCGCCGCCTTAACGTCTGTGCTCTCTCTGCTGTTGTGTCAGCTCACAGCAACCATGTGTGGTCAATAAAGAGATGCTGAAAAGCGTGTTCATACAAATATCGTCGGTCTGCCATGGTATGCTTACAATGGGACTTCTGCTCCCGAACCTCTGCGCACAGCGTCTGCAAATCGGGGCTGTATTAAGTCACTTTTATCTTTACGCAGGACTGTAAGCTGTCATCTGTGAGGCGTGAGCGGTGTTTGTTTTTAACATAGTTCACGGTGGAGCTGCTGACATAATGTGGATCCGAAGATCCATAATTGGTCTACCTGGGGTTGAAAGTCTCGATAAATGCACGGCGTTTCGGCGGGTACACCGGCTTCTGCGAGTGTGACACTTATTTTGAGCGATGAAGAAATAATAGAATATAATTTTATTTTTATATTTCAATATCACAATAATCTTCCAATTTAGAACTACAAGTTAAAAAAGAACTAACATAAATAAAATACACTTCAGCTAAATACTTCTAATTTAATTTCCCAAACCACGCGTAGCTGCACTATAAGGACTAAAGAGCCGCAGGTTGCCGACCCCTGGCTTAGTGCAATCCACCTCCTCCCCATCTCTGTCTCTCCCTCATCACTCAGGCTCCATTCAAGCCTCCATCTTCATCTCTACCACTAGTACCTAGATTGGCTGTTGATAATACCTATTCAGGGTTGCTAGTAGGGTGCGTCACCTAGGGGGCAGCAGGGGGGAAATTCAGATTGAGGTAGTTAGTTGCTGGGTGAATTCCCAACACCATCTGTTTAAATAAGTTTCTATTGTGGTACCTATAGTGGTAATACTCCTAGGACGAGAGACTCTGAACCCTTGAACGAGAGCCGATCCAGAGTTCTGTACAGAGATAACTGGGATTTGAAAACACATCACAGTATATTTTAACATTAGGTGTACCTCTTGTTTACGCTAAACTAAAATATTTTGCTGCCTTTAAATGGAATGAGCTACAAAAAATGTGAAACTGATTTCATTACAATCTTTTAAGATGTTATATTATCTACAACTACCTTTGCACATGGTTTTCTTAATTTTTGAAAATGTATAATGTGTTCTTGTATTGTTTTTTGTAAACAAAATGATGAAATACAAAATTAATCCCAAAATGTTTTGTCATACAACTGTATTTCTTGGAAGACCATGCAACACAAAATAAACACTACTGCGTCCATGAAACCACATCAGGTTGTGTGACTCTACCTGTTCTCTGCAGGGAGCTGTTCCCATAGGACAAAGACTTCTTCATCCACTCTGGGTAAATGTTAGTGAGGAAGTTTTTCTTGTTTTTTGTTCTACCACTGTCAGCATCCCATCTTTGTTTAGTAATAGCAGCTTCTGGTTTCAGTGCGATCCATGTCAGTCTGTTCAGATCAATCTCAACAAAGTCTTCTCCGTTATAACCGTACTGTGAAAATCCAGTCACCTCTCCAGTTTTTTCATCCCATTCACAACCTTCTCTCTTCTGTAAAATGTGAACACCTGAAGAGAGAAACAAAGAAAAGAGAGATAGCAGTATAATATTTTAATATTGCACATTGTCATGGGTGCACTGCGTCATGGATATGATGCATGGCAGGTAGGATGTGGACCCAAACGCACTCATGGGATAGTGAGAGGAGAGCACACGTGGGATGCATGGTTGGAAAGTATAAATATTTGGGCAGAGGAAGTAAATGTAACACAAGAAACTGAGAATAACAGTTACCAAAATAAAACAAGAAGCCACAACTGATTAGGAAACGAGGGTTAAATCGACATAGATGACTGAAGAACTAGAGAGGGGAACAAGGAAGGAGAAATGCAGACAACGCTGGGACACAAAGGTGAACTAAGCAGAAGCAACGTGTACATCACTAACCAGAACAGAAACTGAAATTAATATAATAAATTCACAAGAAACCACAGAAAAGAGTCCTAAACTTCTAATAAACTAAAGCAACCACACAACAAAGTAAATACTAACTATAACAAGAATGAATCATGAGATACAAATATTAAACTAAATATACACAAAGCCACAACGGAGGTAAAAAGAATAAGTAATCAAATATGAATATGAAGCTGATGGAATTCTGCAACATGTAAAAGTAGGCTTGGTGTGTCAAGATTAAAAGAAAAACAAGAGATCGAAACTGACCACTGACAGAAACTGACAGCGCATTAAGCGATAACTCAAACTTTACTCAACTCATTCTTGCTTCCTCTACTTCCGTACCATCGATTTATTCACGTTGAATTCTCTCACAGCTGCTCTATTCCCATGTTGTTGCAGTTTAATAATGACTAACCTCGTATTGTGGATGGATTATCTCACGTAGCACATCATTATATACCAGCTAGTGCAACTTCAGTAACCCTACAAACGTCACTGCTGTTTAGATTTCTCTTTTAATTTATGTTGGAAGTGATAGCAGAGCTGTATGTTTTAATTTTTTCACAAATTTCTCAGTCAGAACATGCTATATCATGTTTAGGTGGGAACTAGCGAGCAAACTTCCTGTTAACTTTGAACTCCGTTAAATTTAATAAATTCTATTTTCATGGATGCCTGGATGCTAAACTTAATTGTTACACCTGGTAAAGCAGCAACACCAGGGCCGGCTATACGCTGGGGCAAGAGGGGGCAATGCCCCCTTAAACAAACGCCTTGCCCCCTTAAGTCAAACTTTTAAAAGTTGAGAAAGAAAATAATAGATTACCCACAAACTGAATATGAACAAGATTTATTATAGTAGCTGAAAAATCCACTGGAAAAGGCACAAATGAGATGATAGGTTTCACATCTTGTTCGCTCTTTGCCTCTGTGCACTGTTTGTGCGCAGGCTCACACAGCACTCAGCAGAGAACTCCCACTCTCCCCAGCTAAACATCCATGCGACGCATCTTGCCACTGCCTTCATGTTAGACTCAAGTTTATAAAGAACTCATGTCAAAGTATTGTGGTTAAGTTAAATCCAATTTATTAACCATCCAGCTGCGAAGAACGTACTTTCTCCCATTTAGCTACGGCAGGCACTGAGGTGCGTTTAACGTCTCTCTGTTAATTTGATTTTCAATGAAACCACGATAAACAGGTGTTTATGTTGTTGTTTTTTTACTATACCAACCCATTTTGTAAGTATTGGCTATATTGAGAGGTCTTATTTTATTCTTACTTCATTTTGCAAATTTACTTGAATTAGGCCATCCAATTAAGGTAAATGTTCTGTTTTAATTGTTAGAATCTGATGAGCAATGTTTCATTTCATTTGTTGTTTTTGCTTTTCTGTTTTCCCGAGGGATTGCCCCCTTAACGCGGTCAGGGGGTTTACGTGCCTTAGTGACCATAAAGGCTAGACCAGCAGAAGCCTAGCCTTCAGGTGGGACACTCAAATTGGTCAAGTCTTAGGGTAGAGGCCTGACAAAGTGCAATCCAATTACATGACAAAAACAGTTGTCCAGAGTAAGGCAGCCACAATTACGTCGACTATCAAAATCGTCAACAACTAATTCAGGGGTGATTCTAGGATCAGAGCTTTGGGGGTGCTGAGCACCCAGAGAGCTGCCCAGCCAGGCAAGATAAACTTTATGATGAGACTTCTTCCTTGTCTCTGTCAGTCCCTGCATCCTTAAATGTCTCCAGTTGTCCAGAGTTCTCTCTGACTGTCTCCTTGGTGCATTTAAACCCCTGTTCCTCCCTGTCCTCTTTGTCTGTCTTTATTAAATCATAAGATTCTTAAATGCATCAAGTCTCTCTGTGCCTGGGTCCTCGTCATAAAACATGGCATCACTGTTTTGTACATTTTAACACAATTTAATCCCCACATTTGTGAAAGAAAAGCAAAACACTTTTTTTAAAGTCTGTAACAAAACCATCAAATCTGATAAAGGTTATTTAAATGATGAAAGGAAGAATGGATTGGAATAAAAAAAATACATATCGTAACCTGACAATCATACACAAATATATTGTATTCAATTAGATGAAAAAAAATTACATTAACATGAAAAAAATACTATTAAGATCTCTAATAAAAAGTCCTCTCGCAGTGTACTTTCAACCAAAAGGCAAATAACCAAACCACATGTACATCTAATAAAAGATATAAATATTGAAACACTGATCCAACATTATCCTATTCCTTGACAGATCATTTGATCTTAAACTTTTACCTTAACGTGGCTCCTTTTTTTGAAAAAACTTCCTTGTATCCATTATGAACCTGGCTGTCTCTCTGTGCACACACACACACACACACACACACACACACACACACACACACACACACACACACACACACACACACACACACCAGGAGTTATAAGGTTAATAGGCATCCAGTCAGTTATCTAGTTAGTACCTTTGCACATGCACATATGACAAAATAAGCAGCTTTCAAACAGGACAGTGGTAACAACAGCAGGCTATGGACAATTTTAAATTTTAGATTATAAATAGACTGTATAAATTTCAATGGGAGCAACAGGACGGTCAAATGTCGCTGATTGTACTACAGAGTAGGACAGATTGTAGGGTAGCAAACATCGTTGGGAAACACGTTTTCAACACTGCAGGTTACCTGGTGTAATGTTTTTCAGCTAAAAAAGAAACATGGTCTGACTCCTACCAAACTATATAAAGAGTAACTGAAGGTTAAATGCAGCTAAAATGTCCTGTTTTAAGCCAGACACTTACACCTCTGCTCCACTGCGTCTCAGCTACTGGCAGAAAGGGCGCTAGAACCAGAGCAGGGGAGAGGTGAGCTGGAACAAACCTTCTTTTTTTTTCTTTTCTTTTGGGGGGGGGGATATCTATACTTTTGTTGTTAAAACATTATGTCTCAACCAAGTACTGTATGGTTTTTATATTTTTAGTAGTGTGTGACACAAACAGCAAATATTGCCAAAAAAAAAGTAAGAAATCTTTGGGGGTGCTTTGATTCATTTTGGGGGTGCTTCAGCACTTCCAAAAATGGTCTAAAAACGCCCCTAGACTAATTTAATAGTCTGCGCATCGTTTGAAGCTTTATAAGATCCTGAAAGACGAGGAATAAGTAGTAGGATTTATGAGTGTAATAACGGACTAAAAAAAATGATGTCAGCAATGCATGTACAAGGATGCCAGCTGCCGTTAAGCACCACAGAAGAAGAATAAGCAGTCTCCGGTATCATAGCTGTGTCCAAACTTAGGGGCCACATCCTTCGGGGGCTGCATTTGTAGGCCTGTTACATCACAGCGATGCGACGAAGACTGTCCAAATTCAAAGACTCCCCCAAATGCGGCCGACAAATGCATCCTCCTTTTCTGCAGATTTGAAGGATTGGTCGGGTGTATTTTTCGTGGCCCAACCTATCCCAGAATTCACAGTGCAGCCCAGCAAATTCGCCATTGTTGGAAATTAGTTTTATTATTACTCTTTTTGGGTCACAAAATAAAGTTTTAAGATGTTTTAGGGCAAGAAAGTAGCTGTGTAAACTTCAAATACCTGCTTGATTTATCAAGACATCACATATTTACAAAAGTGTTCCAACGTTGTTGGAGATGTCTGTTACCGACCAGCTCGATAGCTAGTGGGGGTAGCGAACCCCCCAGTACATCGTTTTCAGACCTCCATGGTTTTGGCTACTCAGGTTAAACATGATATATAAGTCACTTAGATAACTTAAAAACGTTATTGTTTGGCTTTTTTCAGTGTTTTATTTGTTTCAGAGTAAATCGGTTTGGCTGAGATTAAAGTTATAGTTTTCACACAAATGAATAAATGTCAAACAGAGGGTTAGTCAAACTGATTAAACAGAAGTGTGAGATGGTCAAGAATTTACTCCAGTGTCCTGTTTATTATATTTTAGATAGCAAGGAGCAGATGGCTGTGTTTACTAAATTCCATCGAGACAATCTGCTAATTTTATTACAGGTTTAATAAACTATCATCTTGTCTTCATTTTTAGTCAGCACATAACTTTAACACTTAAAGCTGTAAGCTAATGATAGTTATATAAGAGCAGATGCATGCTGGTGCAATAAGATGTAAGTTTTACGTCCAATGGATGTATGAGATTTATATATAAGCTTTTAAAGGAAAAATCTATATCACTGTCTAATTATTTTTTATGCAAAACTCGAACTATTGCTTCATCATCCTTTTTAAAGAACGCTCACACTAACAAGGTTTATGATTCAGTTGGTGAAAACAAAAATAAGACTTCAAAAATCTTTAACTGATAATTAACAAAATAATTTTATATCAATTGTTTTCTTTTTGCTTATTAATTGACATAATTGTTCTAAAAATATATATTACTGCACCTTCACTCTGGAACTGCTCCTTCAGACTAGAAATACACTTTCCAAAGTTTTTCCAACCCTGAAAGCACTCCTGAGTCAATATCTCCAACAGCTCAGTTTCGTTTTCAAGCATCTTCTTCACCCAGTCCTGTTTTGGTTCTACTGTCTTGTTGATGCTGTCACAGGAACCCAGCTGAATGTCATCAAGCATCATAGCACCCATATACTCTGGGATGTTTGGGACTCCAGAGGATGCAGTGACCAGATACTGCAGTGAGTGTTTCACTGTGGAATAAACAATTTTTGTAGTGTTAAATAAAAGTAAATAAAACATTCAGAGAAAATGTCAGAAACATGACTGGTTCAGTATGATTTTTTTGTTTGTTTGTTTCACACAAGGTACACCAGTAATTCATTTCCCATACACAACCTTCCTTTCAATTAAAGTAACACTGTTTCCATGCATGAAAAGGAGAAGGAAGAAGAATAAATTCTTATTGACACCTGCCCCCTATCTGTGACAATATAAGTAACCGAAATTACACTCTGACAATATTCTGCACATAACAAAACAAACTAAACAGAACAATATACTCAACAATGAGCAATAACACCAAATATCAAACTAAAAGGATAATTTATTCTACAATTAAATTCTGTTATTTCTTTATACTGGTTTATCATTTTATTCTTATAGCAGATTTTAAATTGAGAAACATTTGTACAACACTTAAGATGATCATTGAGAGAATTCCAGTTTCTTATGCCTATGACTGTTGGACACATTTGCCTTTGTGTGGTTCGAGCAAACCGATGCTTAAAATAAAATTTCCTTCTGCCATCCCCATTTTCTGAACACAATACAAATAAACTTTGTAACTTAAGAGGTAGTTTTATTTTTTGCCCTAAACATAATAATTAATTTCTGTAATTTCACTTCAAGAAAGGGGACCGGAGGGTGTGTTCCAACTACAGGGGGATCACACTCCTCAGCCTCCCTGGGAAAGTCTATGCCAGGGTGCTGGAAAGGAGAGTTCGTCCGTTAGTCGAACCTCGGATACAGGAGGAACAATGCGGTTTTCGTCCTGGTCGCGGAACACTGGACCAGCTCTTTATCCTCTCCAGGATACTTGAGGGTGCATGGGAGTTTGCCCAACCAGTCTACATGTGTTTTGTGGACTTGGAGAAGGCATTCGACCGTGTCCCTCGGGGTGTCCTGTGGGAGGTGTTGCGGGAATATGGGGTGTCTGGCCCATTGTTACGGGCCATTCGATCCCTATACAACCGTTGCAAGAGCTTGGTTCGCATTGCTGGCAATAAGTCGGACTCGTTCCTGGTGGGTGATGGGCTCCGCCAGGGCTGCCCTTTGTCTCCGGTTCTGTTCATAATTTTTATGGACAGGATTTCTAGGCGCAGCCAAGTGGCTGAGGGCTTTCGCTTTGGTGGCCTCAGAATCTCATCTCTGATTTTCGCAGATGATGTGGTTCTGTTGGCTTCATCGGGTGAGGGCCTCCAGCTCGCACTGGAGCGGTTCGCAGCCGAGTGTGAAGCAGCGGGAATGAGGATCAGCACCTCCAAATCTGAGGCCATGGTTCTCAGCCGGAAAAGGGTGGAGTGCCCACTCCGGGTCGGAGATGAGTTCCTGCCCCAAGTGGAGGAGTTCAAGTATCTCGGGGTCTTGTTCGCGAGTGATGGGAGAAGGGAGCCGGAGATCGACAGACGGATTGGGGCTGCAGCTGCAGTAATGCGGACGCTGCACCGGTCCGTCGTGGTGAAGAGGGAGCTGATTGTAAAAGCGAAGCTCTCAATTTACCGGTCGATCTACGTCCCTACCCTCACCTATGGCCACGAGCTGTGGGTAGTGACCGAAAGAACGAGATCGCGGATACAAGCGGCAGAAATGAGCTTCCTCCGAAGGGTGGCTGGCCTCTCCCTTAGAGATAGGGTGAGAAGTTCGGCCATCCGGGAGGGGCTCAGAGTAGAGCAGCTGCTGCTCCACATCGAAAGGAGCCAGCGGAGGTGGTTCGGGCATCTGACAAGGATGCCCCCTGGGCGCCTCCTGGGTGAGGTGTTCCAGGCATGTCCCACCGGGAGGAGGCCCCGGGGCAGACCCAGGACACGCTGGAGAGATTATCTCTCGGCTGGCCTGGGAACGCCTTGGTATTCCCCCGGATAAGCTGGAGGAGGTGGCTGGGGAGAGGGAGGTCTGGGCCTCTATGCTTAGGCTACTGCCCCCGCGACCCGGCCCCGGACAAAGCGGATGAAAATGGATGGATGGATGGATGGATGTAATTTCACTATATCTTCTAGTTTTAATAATTTCGATTTTATAAACAAACTATTAGTGTGTTCTCTATATTTAACATTATGCATAATTAAGCGCTCTCTTCTGTAATAAATATAATGGTTTCATATTAGTCACATATGTATTCCCCCATACTTCAACACAATAACTCAGATAGGGTAGAAACAATGAAAAATATAATATTCTCATTGTCTTGGAATCTAATATATATCTTACATTACCCAGGATATAAATACTTTAGCCAGGATATAAATACTGATTCAGTTAGCATTATTGGCGCTGGAGTCAAAGGAAATTAGTCTAAAAGAGGACTGTTTGATCGGTGATCAAATGTGACAAGAGAAAAGCAAAACAACGACAAAATTAACCCCATTCTTTTTACTCTGACGAAGATGTTTGACCAAATCTGGTCATCTGGTTTGCATCTGTTTTGCATGCGTTTGTAACATCGACATTAAATTATTAAACCAACATCTATAAAAATGTGTGTAATGTGCGTATTGATCCAAAAACCTTCTAAACACTTGTTCAACGGGGCAAATATGTTATGGCACGAAATATACCACGTTATACAGTAAAGACTTTGCTACCGTCGACGATAATCAAACACAGCTGTAGTTTCCGTTATCACACAGTGAGTAATAAAAAAGGTACTCGTTTTGGTGAGGTTTTTATCCGCAGTTATTTTCGTGAAAATCAGGCTAAAAAGAGCTTTAAAGTAAAGCGAAAGTTGACGCCCTGCTCTGGGTCAGATGAGTTCAAAATATTTTCTCTTTACCTGCAGATGACGTGGAATAAAAAAAGAAGCAACATGAATAAAAACATATTGTCTTCATCGTGATCCTGTAATTACTGCTAGAATAATTTTGCTGTTAATTTTCGCTGAGCGGTTCAATTCTAGAAACCCGTTAGGTTTTATGTACCGTACGTGTAAAAACAGCGTCTTCCTGTTCCTTTCTTTCACAGTAAAAGTCCTCGAAATCAAGACTAGCGTCCAGTGTTAAAAAAGACAGATGTTTTCCTTTTTTTAAAAAAAAACAAAAACAAAAACAAAACGGTAACGTTTATAACATTCTCACGTGCTTAATTCTGACCAGTCGTAGCAGTCCATTTCACTCTCGTTGATCAGCACAATTTTAACCCTTTCACGCATAGTGGTCACTACAGTGGACAGCTATTCATAGGCTGTTTTCTTGTATTTGTATCAGTGTTGATGGTATACTTGCACATAAAGACAACACAATGTATATTATTCATTCATTTGTCAAAATCATAAGTCAAAACATATGTTGTCCATTTAAGTGGACATGTAAAAACATGAAAAGTACATGTTTAAAAAAAAATCAAGTTCAAAAATCTTTTTTTCATGCCTAATGATGAATAAAAATACTTATGAAAAAAACTGATTAAGGTTGTCATAATTCATGCATGAAAGGGTTAAATCACTCTCTGCTGAGCAACCTCTGAACCATGGTCAAACTTTGTATACACTGTCAGTGGGATTTTTTTTTAATGAACTTTATTGAACAAACAATGAGTACAAAACATACAAACAGATGAAGTATACAAAAAAAAAGGACATGAACACACAAAACCAGGGGTAAAGAAATAATTATATGAATACATGCAAAAATTCACATATTTGTATTGTTTTGAGGGCCTTTTTGTTGGTGGAGTCTGATATTGATTTTATGTACAATTCCACATCCTTTAGAAAATGACAGCAATATGATATTTTATCAGAAAACTTACATTTATGGATAAAAAATTTAGCAAAAAGTATTAACAAATTTATTAAAAAAAACATTTATCGCTCTTCTTGGGGAACTTAAAGAAACAGAATAAAACATTTTCTCATCGTAAACTCCCCTAAAATATGGACAAAAACAAACCTGCTAAATTCCTTCCAGAATCTCTGTCTAGAAGAACAGTACCAAAAAAGATGTGTCACAGTTTCTGGATGATCCCCACTGAAAGTGCAATTATTATTTATGTCTCTTTTAAATTTTACAATGTGGTGACTGGCTGGGTAATATTTATGAAGAGTTTTAAATTAAACTTCCTTCACCTTATTTACAGTTAGATATTTATGGGGGATCATCCAGACTGTCTTCCAGTTGATATCCGAAACATATCGATTTCAGTACGATATTATATATGGGAGAGAAACGATATCTTCTTGGAATAAACTACATATTCTCTTATTGTTCCTGGGAAAAGCAGATTTTTCCCACTGCTGACTCAGCTGGATCGGGGAGAGCGACTGAGGTAGATATTGAGCTGTCAGTGTTTTTATATAACATTAAAGTATCTGAGGAAATGACATCAAGCACCACTGAGAATTCCACCGACTGGAAAATGATATAGTGCAAGGAATTTGTTGTATGTAAGTAATTGTCCCTCTTTATTAACAAGCTGAGCCACCAATAGGATCCCATTTTGGACCCAAGTTTCTCCTCCCGGTGGGACAACAATAATTAGACAACAATGCAAACAGAATTTGTAAATGTGAATAATTAATAACACCTTCAGAAAGACACAAGAATGTTCATTAGACTGCCTAGACTAGCATAACAATGCTGGCCACCACACAGAAGGAAATGTCCAGTGCACCGTAAGGCTCAGAATCACTAGTTAAATTGGCTGCTGTGTTGCTTAAGCTGGAAGAGCAACGAGTGATTGTGATTAACTTCACAAGGTGTCACTGATAGGCTTCCCAACAATAGTACTTGTTATTTCTTTATACAATACTGACTAATTGAACTAATTGAAATACATCCATCCATTCTTTTCCACTTATCCTTGTAACAACCACCCCTGTCTTGTTGTTTTCATGCTAATCTCTTCTTTATCTTTCCTGCTTGTTTGGTTTCACGGGTCATAAGTTTGACACCCCTGGTATAAACTGTGAACCTGAAATTTAAACTGGATTCATTTTAAGAATACTAATAACATTGATATCTTGCATTTTTGGAATAAAAAAAGTTATAACTTTATATATACAAGCACTGAATTTGTTTCTTCTTGTCTATTAGAATCTCCATTAGTTATTCAGTAGTAACAGCTGCAATTCTTGGATTCCAAACAAAACTTTGGTGAGAATGTTCTTCTTGAAATCAGAGACCTGAAACACACACTCGTATCTGCTCCAGTCTTCTGGTCTAACTGATAAAACATTCAGATCAACACTCATCTAGAAGGTCCCATCATTGTTGGGGAGGATCTCTCTGTGGGGCACAACTTCATCGGTCTCCTTTCCATCTTTCCTCCAGAACATCACGGCTCTGTCTGGGTAGAAACCTGTAGCGTGGCAGCTGACTGGAGAGGAGAAAGTCCTCTGGAGGAGAGACACTGAAGGAGGAACTGGAGAGTGGGAGGGTGGGAAAGTCAGAGAGTGAGAATGGATGAAAGAAATAATAATGAGAAAGGAAAAACAGGTAAAGAAAGAAGATGAGAATAAACAAGAAATTCAATAAAGAGAAAAAGAAACACTGACAGTGAAACAAGTGTTAGATGAAAAACATGGCTGCAGCAGTAGAAAATAACTGACATGAACTGTGAAGATGTGAAAATCAAAACTAAATCTGTAATTCAAAACAGAGTGAGTGTCACCAGCTTATTAGCAGCTGGATACGGATGTATCATGGCACAATCTAAACTAAATGCAACTTTAGAAACACAGATATATTATCAGTAACTACTGCACGAATGGAAATGTTGAACTCATGAATGCACTAAATGAAAACACATGGGTTCAGTTCATGTAAAATCATTCTTTTAATCACAAACATTAATATAAAATCATGTAAATCCATCCATCCACCAGCAGCTGAAGCTAAAAGAAAAGTTGGAGAATACACTGTTTGGAAAACGCTGAAGAACTCTTTCAGTTCCTCTCCTTATGGGCACAACTGCAGATTATCTACCTCAGTCTCACCTCTCTGTCACACCAACCCTCTGCTTGTCCTTCACTACATCCATGAGGCTCCTCTTCTCCTTCGGCCTGGCACCTTCACATTTAACATGCTTCATCTTAAAATATCCTCTATCCGTCCGGTGCACACGTCCAAACCATTTCAGCTTCGCCTCTTTAGCTTCATCTCCAAACTGCCCTGCCTGAGCTGAGGGATTCATTTTTAATTTTGTCCATTCTGAACATCTTAACATCTTCAGCTCTGCCTCCTGTCTTTTCGTTAATGCCACTGTCTCCAAACCATACCTCATAGCCTGTCTCACTGCCAGTTTGTAAACCTTCTCTTTCAGTCTTGCTGAATGCTCCTGACACTCGTCTCCACCCACTCCACTCTGCCTCTTTCTACCTGCCTCCCACTCATTCACACGTGTATATTCTGTCGTGCTTTAACAGACTTTCATTCCTCTTTTCTTCAGAGCACACCTCCACCTCTCCAGGCTCTCTTCCACTTGCTCTCACTACAGATCACAACATTATTTGCAAATATCACAACCCACAGAGACTCCTGCCTGCTTCCATCTGTCATATGATCTATTGTACACTCTATCTGGATCCACAAAGACACAACTCGTTCTGAGCTTCTTCTTCTGGCTTTACTTTTCCTCCCTGGTTTCACATGTGTCCAATCAGCTCTGTGTGTGCATGCAGCCGTGTCTCTTCCTCTGACAGTTGTCAGTTTGTCTGTTTTGACATGATTTGACCCAGTAGTCGACTCCATAGTCTTTGTTCTTTTCTAGATTCTTTTTTTGGCAGCAGTTTGTTCTGATCAGCTTTCATCAGAGCTCCTGTTTTCTCAATTCAAGTCTGCATTTGAGTTTGTTTTTTTGTTTCTTTTGTTGAAGCTTGACATTTTGCTGCCCATGCAAATAACTGATTATCAGTTATGAATATCTAACTTTTTCAGAGAGGCCCCTTACCTACAAATAAAGGATAAAAACTACCCAATGGATTGATATACATAGACTTAGTGTAGAACTATAAAGAATATATGTTATAATGTTAAAACTGGAGAAAACCACGAGCGTCCATAATGCTGTGTGTGCTGGTCACCTGGTCTTGATTATTAGAACACACTATAAGTAACAGTGCACCACAAATTTCTGTTTCCTTATTTGTGTCTTGTGTCAAACTTACTGATAGAAATGTGAAACTATAATTGTCCATAAAATGTAGCAGTACAGCAGTGTTTGCACACAGCTTCTTTCATTCACCTTCAAAATCATTAAATACAAAATTAGCCTCAAAGCTTTGTCCTTTAAAAGATAACTGTGTTGTTAGAAAGATAACTCAAAATAAAATAAACACCACTGCATTCATGAGGTCATGTGATTCTACCTGTTCTCTGCAGGGAGCTGTTCCCACCGTCCAAAAGCACCTTCAGCCGCTCTGGACAGATGTCAGTGAGGAAAACTTCATTTAGCTTTGTTTTATTACTGTCAGCATCCCAGCTCTGTTTGGTAGAGTCAGCCTTCAGTGAAGCCCATGACAGTGTCTTCAGATCCGGTTCAATAAAGCCATACTTCAAGAAGCCAGACTTCTCTCCAGTGCTTTCCTCATATTCACAGCCACTTCTAATCTGTAAGATGCAAAAACGTGGAACGAGAGAGAGAGAATGAACTATGATACATATATTAATCTAAAAGACTAAAATTTTGAACAATTCTGTAAATGCATTGTTTTGTCATGCTTTTTAAGAGATGTTGATATTAGTAAAGTCTGATCATTCCTGATCTCATCTGAGAAGCACAACATTAGAACTTTAAATCTTTCACGATTAGCAAAATAGTTTTCCTTAGGTGTATCTCATGGTTTATAATAATCAGACAGAAGGTATATAAGAAGAAATAACCACATACCGTAACCTTCACTATGGTTGAACTGCTTTTTCAAACTAATAATCCGCGCTCTGTAGGCGCTTGGCTGAATGTTAAAGCACTCACGTTTGTACCACTCCAAGTAAACTGCCTCGACGCCATCAACCACAGCAACACCCACAAACTGTGTGACGTTTGGGACTCCAGCAGATCCGGTGAAGTGATTTATCGGCGAGTGTTTCACTGTGAAACAATCATTTTAATATTTTATAAGATTAGATAAATAAAATATCCAAAAAGTATGAAAAATATAACTCCTGTAGTTATTTTTTTAGTTATTTCAAGTGTGAGCAAAGACCAACTGTGAGACAAGATTAGCAATAAAAACTACGTTTAAATCTATAAGAAGAGGATTCGGTTATTATTCCTGAATGTGGGTGAGGAAGTTCAGTTAACAAAGGTCAGACTAACACAACGTTAAAGCAAACGCGCTGCAGATGTGAAAAGCTGTTAGAGCTCAAAGATTCAAAAGGTTTTATTACCTGCAGATGAAACAGAAAGAAAAGAAGCCGCGAGAATAAAGTCATCCTGTCCTCATCTTGTAGTTACTGTTAGGATAACTGTTGATCTTGTTTACTCCCGATGTACCGTTACCGGAAACCCGTTAGGTTCAGTACGTGAATAAAGTTAAAAAAAAAAAAAAAAGGTTCAGTGTGTGTGGGATAAGGGCGTCTTCCTGTTCCTTTCACAGGAAAAGTCCTAATTATATAGACACATATACATTTATAAGTGTAGGTCGTTTTCTCTCTTTTATCCTGTCCCTGACATACATGCTAAGTGACGAGCGTGCATAAAATTGTTTCTAAAAATGTAGTATCAGTTCAACACTTTTTTCTTCATAAAGAAATAATATCATTGTTTTGGTTTAAAAAAAATGTAATTTAATATGAAAATATAATAGGCAAAAATTGAAAAGCAGGTTTTATTCCCCATGAAATAAAAAAAAAGATGATTCGTCGACAATAATGTTTCATAATAATAATAATGATAATAATGTGTTGGGCTGAGAATTACACTAAAGACTGAAGACTGGACTCAAAGTGAAACGTTTGGTTATCTGTTGGCAGGTAATCCACAAAGGTAAAAACATAAAGTCCAAATACGAATTATTGAATCATAGGGTTTTCTTTCCGCATGGCTCCTTTCCTCAGTTAAACTACTGGAACAATGCACAACAGCAAACGTATGCCATTTTCTTCTTCGTGCCACATCCTCTCTGCTACTCAAAACAGGACTTACCAGTCTTCCTCATCCCCATTTATTTAGGAATTAACTTTCTGATTTTACACCCTGAATTATTTTCCTGTGAAAGATTTATGTTACAATACTGCCACAAACTCCACACTAATAATTATCTTGCTTGTTAAATTTCTCAAGTCTGTTATGTCACAAATCCACGCTCCTGTGGAACTCTCTCAGGTCTGAACCACCTGACCTTTGAAATTGCTGTTGCCATTTCCCCATAACACATACGTGCACTGATGCCTCTACACCACAGAGCGCTCCTTTTATTTACACCTATTTCCTCAAGTCAGTTGAGCTCTACTTTTCTGCATGGATTATCTATTATATTTCACTTTCCAGCCAAAACGTCCAGTTCAGATGCAGTGTCTATTACCCTGAAAGTGATGATATCTTTAACAAACCTCCATGACTCCTGGAGGACCTGTTTCCTCATTCTGACTGAAAATTTGTTGCTTCAAAAAAGGACCATTGCCAATCAAGCTTCTAGCATTCCACCATTGGTTATATCCTTATTCCCACTCACCCAGACTTTGTCACTTCCCGATAGAGTTCTTTTTATTTATTTATTTTGTCAGATACATATAGAAACAATCAAGCCACTCATTTTCTTAACCTTTTATGAGAGAAGGTACACTGGTTTGATAAGCACTCTCATGACTATCTGCACTCTCATGACTATGTCTTTTGGGAAGGTGATCTTTTGTACAGTTTGCAAATGTTACTAAAAACATTCTTGGTTGAGAGAAAAAGTTCCAGACGTAACATAGATGTGGTTTTAACACATGAGATAAGAAACAACTCATCGAGACAGTTGACAAAGTAGCAAACTTTATGCACCAAATCAAGTGTTAAATCTTTTTACATGTTTTGTTTTACAGAAACCTGTCAAATTTCTCTCTCCCACAGTCTCTTTTTTTAAGAAAAATACAAATTCATTTACAAAAGGAAAATAAAAAAGAAATCAACAAGTAAATGCAAAAATGTGTACTTTTTTTTTTTAAATAAATAGTTCCATAACTGAATTATGCCTGAGCATACATGTTTCTCAGTTACTTTGAAATATATTTTCAAATATTTATCAGTTTTCAGAGTTTTTAAGAAAACTTTCAACAACTGCCAGAATTGTTTTGAGGTTTTGATGCAATCTGACACCTGACTCTACAGTGACACCTACTGGCCTCTGTTATCATTGTCATATCTTGATGATGTTCCATGTAACATGAATTTTACTCTAAATAGAATTAAAGATTATAAATAGAATTTATAATATTTTAACTTTACTTCACTCACTATGTAACTGTATTACATTGTTGTGTAAAGCGCTTTGAGTGCTCAGAAGAGTGGAAAAGCGCTATATAAGAACCAGTCCATTTACCATTACACTCATGATCTGGGAGTAGATGTTATCCAGTTTGATCTTCACACTGTCAAACAAAGCTTTTCCATGTCAGTGGTTTTTATTTTCAAAAGCATGTTTCTCTGATGGACAGTGGATGGACCTCAGTGTCTCTTTATGTTAGAAAACCCAACAATTCTCAGCATTTTTTAAACTAATGGTCAACAGAAAACAGCAGTGTGTGTGATTCATAAAGAAATAGACACATAGCACCTCTTGCTATGTAAAGGAATTATTTAACTGAGAATATAACTCCATGAAGAAAACAGTTTCAACTTTAAAATTTCTAATAAATAGCAGAGTTGAAAGACAAAAACTAAATTAAAAAAAAATAAAATGTAAGTATTTTACCTCATTTTATTTTATTACTTTTTGTTGTTGCTGTTATTATAAGCCACGTCTCCAGTCATGAAAAATATAATGAAAGAAACCAACAGGTGGGTGAAGGAGGTGGTTACGTTATTGACCTTAAATAAATGAATAACCAAAATGGTGCAAGTAAATTATTTATAGACAGAACAGTTAAAATATAGTGAAACATGAAAACTGTTTGACTTGAATGACTGAACAATCCTTTGGATTATAAAACAAAAAGAGAAAAACGGTTTTCCACAAAAAGTAAAGTTCACATAAACAAACTATTCTTCTTCTATGTGTTCGTTTAACTGAAGATTTGAACACTGTTTTCTGGGTCCAGTGTTTGTATGTGTGGATCTTGTTTCAGTTTCTCCAACAGTTCAGCAGTGTTGCCAGGAACTGTTATTTCCAAAGAAGAAAAATCACTGGTATTCTTTATAAAATACATAAACTGTATATCAGAGTAAAACAAGTTGTACTTACAAGGTGAACTTGAGTTTCTGCCTGAAATAAAAAGAAAATAAATCATTTCAGGCATTTGTTCTACATTACAATCAAAGTTTCTGTCATATATATTCAAAAATAAAAGTGTCTAATATAATAAGAAATAATATAACTGAACCATGCACTGCTGGTCCTGGTTCATTGATAAACTCGGCTCCTTTGATTCTCTGACCTTTCCTCTTCTTGTAAACAGCAAATCCAACAACAGCAAAAAGGATGAGAAGAACTGGAACAACCACTGCAGCAATGATGGAGATCATCCTGTCAGAGGGATTCTCTGCTCAGTAAAAACAGACAAACAAAATCAAATCTGCAGATGAAGCAGGTTAGAATAAACATATTTACGAGTAATATTAAAATAAAGTAATATTTAAAATATCCTGGAAGAGTAGTTGTAAAACAGCTAACTGATCATTTGTTCTGTTTTGAGTGTTTTGAATCTATCTGATAGTTTTCAGTTTGTTTAGTTAAAGGAAGAGTAATTTGTCACGTATTTGATACAAATCTCTTAAACTGACAGCTTATCTTCCTAAAAAACTAGTTCATAGATTAAATACTTCTCAGCCAGATTACTGTCATTCATTATTATCAATTTCCCCTAAATATTTCCTAAAAACCTTAAAAATGCTACAGTGAGAATATTGACAGAGATGAGAAAGAGAAACAATATTTCTCTCATAACATACTCTTTATAGTATTTACAAGTAGAATGGGAGACAGAGCCTTCAGCTTTCCAGCCCCTCTTCTGTGGAACCAGCTCCCAGTTTGGATTCAGGAGACAGACACTATCTCTACTTTTTGATAAAGCTTATAGTCAAGGCTAGATCAGGTACCTCCTTTAGTTAGGCTGCTATAGGTTCAGATTGTTCCCGGACGTCATGTGATACACTGTGATGCACTGAGTATTTCCTCTTTACTCTTAATTCCCCACGTGTTTATAAATCACTGTAACATGTCATCAGATCGTTCTCTTCTTTCTAGCTTGGTCTGTGATTTATCTGCTTCATGCTTATAGCTGCCCCTCTGCCTGTTAAAATGTAGTTTTTCCTTCTTTCTACTGTCATCAGGTTTGATTGCTGGGGTTTTCTTCAGAATGCTGCAGGGTCTTTAACTAAAAGTATAAAGCACCTTGAGGTGACTTTTAATCTGATTTGGTGCTATGTAAATTAACCTGATTTGAAACTTTTGCAAAAATGGGTTTCTTAATAACAATAACAGTAACAGTTTATATTTACAATGAAAGAGAGAAAATGATTGTAATACATAATAATTAAAAAATTTACGACATTCATTTTCCCACAGTGACAGCTGTTGCTCCTGGGATTAAATATAGGACAAAAAAGTCAAGCATTATATTGGAGACAGCAAACAAAACGTTTCTCTCACCTATGACAGGTATTATTTTTCCACAGTTGGTTCTGATCACTTTTTTATCCAGTTTGGTGATGATGTCATCGCCGTCAGAGAGCTGAAACGCACAGTCGTACCTGCTCCAGTCTTCTGTTGTGACTGATGAAACATTCAGATCAACACACATCTGGAAGGTCTCATCATTGTTGGGGAGAATCTGTCCAGGATCCACACCATCATGAATCTTCTCTCCATCTTTCCTCCAGAACATCACGGCTCTTTGAGGGTAGAAACCTGTAGTGTGGCAGCTGACTGGAGAGGAGGAAGACTTCTGGAGGAGAGACACTGAGGGAAGAACTGGAGAGAGAGAAAGAGAAGAAAATATCAAAAGGATAAAAAGAAGGGTTTCGTTTTTTCCAAATCTGACAATGTTATAGCATCTTGATAACATCTAATAAATAATTGCAGACATTTATTTGACAAAAAAATGACACATTAGAGCAGGGCTGCCCAATCCCAGTCCTCAAGAGCTACTATCCTGCAGCTTTTAGATGCATCCCTACTCCAACACAGCTGAATCAAATGGTTTGATTACCTCTTCAGCATACCATCATGTTTGGCAAAGGCCTGATAACAAGCCATTCATTTGATTCGGGTGTGTGGGAACAAGGATGCATCTAAAAGCTGCAGGACGGTAGGTCTCGAGGACCGGGATTGGGCACCCCTGCATTAGAGTATCATCAGTT